GAATACAAGAAGGGAATACTACATGTTTGCATGGTGTAATATCAGGAACAATGTTACATCAGGGTTTGACCATACTTATTCATTTGTATGCTTAATAAATAATGCAAATAGCTGGACTACATAAAGGAGAATGTAGCATTAGGATTGAAGGACAATTTATTAGCAGTGTGCAATATGCAGATGGCACAACCTTGTTGCTGACAGTGAGGAGGACTTGACACACCAGTGAAAACCAAAGACTTCAGCATGGATTGCAACTTAATGTAAAGAAAACCAAAATCCTCAAAACTGAACTAATAACAAAATCACGATAAAGAGGAAGAATATTAAAATTGTTAAGGATTTCATTTTGCCTAGGCTCACAAACAACACTCATGGAACAGCAGTCAAGAAATCAAAGGATTTTACATTGAACAAATCTTTCCCACAAAGCCCCTTTAAAGTGTTGGAGAGCAAGAATTTTAATTTGAGGACTAAGGTACACTTTTCAATCACCTAAGTGTTATGTGAAAGTTGAACATTGAGTAAGGAAGACAAGAATGCATTTGATTCATTTGAATTATTTTCCTGATGAAGTATATTGAAAGTACTATAGATGGCCAAAAGAAAAAAGAAATCTTCTTGGAAGAAGTATAGCCAGCATGCTCCTTAGAAGCAAAGCTGGTAAGACTTCATCTCACATACTTTGGACATGTTATCAGGAGAGACCCATCCCTGGAGAAGGAAGGAGACCATGCCTGATAAAATAGGGGGTCATCAAAAAATAAGACAATCCTTTCAATGATTGATTGACACAGCTGCAACAATGGACTGAAACATTACAACAATTGTGTGGATGTTGTAGAACCAGGCAGTGTTTCCTTATGTTGTATTTAGGGTCACTGTGTACCACTAACTCGATGGCACCTCACAACATTGTTAGTAATGTGTACTACATACAGGACTGTAGTATGCAATTTTCTGATGTCATCATTCTCAGGTGTTCCTTTTGCAGATGTTCAGTGTTGTCTCCCATGTTTAAAAAACTGCTTTATAGCAGGCTATCAAAACAACAAATAGGTATTCTACTTTTATCAGAACTGACTTAAAGCAGTATCGTTCAGACAGAACCCCATCATAAGTTGGGCACCATCTGCTGATACCGAGGAGTAAAGCTATGAGGCCCTGGTATTTATTTCTTAAACTTTCTAGGAAACAGATCGGTTGTATTCCTTGTAGCTACACCATTTTACATTCCTATTAGCAATTAACAAGTGTCTAATGAACAAATGTCCAATCATTGCACATCCTTGCCAACATATTATTTTGATATTTCTGATACTAGCCATTGGAAGATTTTACAGTAAAGGAAGAAACAGATAATTACAGTAGTGTCCGAGACTTGCTACCAGAAAGATATGATCAGGGTGTTTTAGTTATATTAGTGAAAATAGATAATACACTTAAGACATATTGCTTCCCAGTTAAAACTACATTTAAGAAAACTGTGAAATTCACCATATTTAAAGAAGTTACACCCTGGTCACTTCAAATAAACTGAAGTTACTTTGTCAAATTAATAATTGAACAACATTTGTAATTGTTATTTTACCCATAAAGATATTTCAGGTGAGGAAAAAAATAGTCCTATATTGTCATATGTAGTAAGCCTTTTAAGAAAAATGTGGTGTAGGTAGCATCACACTGCTACTACCTCAGAAATAGCACTTAGAAAGAGAATAGTCATTAAATATCGAAGGAAATCTATTTTTCACTCACTAAAATTCCACTTCAATTGTGGAGAGACACATGCACAAGTTAAACCAAAAAGAGAAATGGGATGGTTAGGGGAAACTGTCAAGAGCCCTGGTGGTGTGGTAGGTAATGCGGTGGGCTGCTAGCTGTAAGGTCAGCAGTTTGCAACCACCCACCGCTTCTCAGGAAAGTGATGAAGTTTTCTATTCCTATAAAGACTTACAGTGAAACTCCCAGGAACAATTCTATCCTGTCCTATAGGTTCTGTATGAGTCAGAATTAATTCAGTGGCAAAGGGGAGCTATCTTAGTCTAGGTACTTTAGAGAAACAAATCCACAGAAACTCATGTGTAAGAGAGTTTTATGTAAAGAAAGTGTGCATCACGAAAACATCCCAACCCAATGCTGCCCAAGCCCACAAGTCCAACATTAACCCATTAACCCAACACTAGTCCACAAAGTCCTCCACCTCACAAAACAGAGGCAATGATGCCGACTGCAGGAGGAAAGCTGAGTCAGTGAATGAATAAGCATCTCAGCACTAGCAGGGGTCTCCACACGGCTGCTCCAGCACCCAGGACTGCATCGGGATAGGTCCATGTGGCTTCTCTTTGGAGATGTCTTGTAGGAAGTCTATCTTGCAAGCTAAGGCAGCTGCACCCTGGTGCGACCATCACAAAGCAAGAGACCCAAGAACTAGAAAGGCAAGATTCACCACCCATTTATCCCTCCACCTTTCAGTTAGCCCCACATGTGTTTAGCGGCCAGGTTGGCACAATCAACTAACTCAGGAGCCTACGACCCTCGCTGACCCATGGCCCAAAGGGGGACAATACTGGAGACTCAGTGTCTGGACTGGCCTGGACTGACCCTGTGACACAGAGGCAAAACACTAAAGGCGGGTGGCAGAGCAACGTGGGGACAGAGCAGTGAGCTCCCGAGGGAGTGCAAAGGATAGACTCGGGGGCCAGAGTGTGGTGCCCCATCGGACTTGACTGGAGGACATGCCTAGAGGTCAAAAATCAGACCTTATCTATTTACAGGTTTTTCTTTTTTAGTTTTTTAATTTTTTTCTTAATTTATTCTTTTATGGGTCATTGGTTTTTTATTTTGTTGTCATCGTGTTCTCTTTTGTCACTTTGTCTTGCTATGCCTTATTTTTTGCAGACCTATCTAGATAAGATAGGCTGGATGAACATTCTGGGGGAGAAAACAATGGGACCGATGGTCCCAGGGGGACATGGGAGAGAGGGAGTTGGGGGTAAGGAGGTGGTATTGATCAACCCAGGGACAAGGGGGCAACAAGTGATCCAAAAATTAGTGGCAAGGAGGATGTGAGAGGCCTGGTAAGGGCAGTGTAACCGAGAGAAATTACTTAAACCCAAATGAAGACTGAGCATAATCGTGGGACAAGAGGAAAGTAAAAGGAAATAGAAGAAAGAACCAGGAGACAAAGGGTATTTATAGAGGTCTAAATACAGGCATGTACTTATGCAAATATATTTATATAGGATGGTAGGGAAATAGATCTACGTGCATATATTTATAGGTTTAGTATTAAGGCAGCAGATGGACATAGGACCTCCACTCAAGTACTTACTCAATGCAAGAATACTTTGTTCTATTAAATTGGCATTCCATGATGCACACCTTCCTGACATGATCGCTGAAGACAAATGTGTACATAAGCAAATGTGGTGAAGAAACCTGATGGAGCCCGGCAATCAAAAGATATAGCATCTGAGGTCTTAAAGGCTTGCAGGTAAACAAGCAGCCGTCTAGCTCAGAAGCATCAAAGCCCACATGGAAGAAGCACACCAGCCTGTGTACCAGGAGTTGTAGAAGGAACCAATTATCAGACATCAAAGAACAAAAAATCATATCAGTGGGTGCCCACCTTCCCGATATGATCACTGAAGACAAATGTGTACATAAGCAAATGTGGTGAAGAAACCTGATGGTGCCCGGTAATCAAAAGATATGGCATCTGGGGTCTTAAAGGCTTGAAGATAAACAAGCAGCCATCTAGCTCAGAAGCAACAAAGCCCACATGGAAGAAGCACACCAGCCTGTGTGACCATGAGGTGTCGAAGGGATCTGGTATCAGGCATCAAAGAACAAAAAATCATATCGTTGTAAATGAGGGTAAGTGCAGAGTGAAGGCCCAAAGCCCATCGGTAGGCAACCGGACACCCCCTTACTGAAGGGTTGCAGGGAGGAGACGAGCCAGTCAGGTTGCAGGGTAGCAACGATGAAACATACAACTTTCCCCTACTTCTTAAATGCTTCCTCCCCCCACTCTCATGATCCGAATTCTACCTTACAAATCTGGCTAGACCAGAGGATGTACATTGGTACAGATAGGAACTGTAAACACAGGGAATCCTGGACAGATGACCCCTTCAGGACCAGTGGTGATAGTGGCAATACCTGGAGGGTGGAGGGAAGGTGGGGTATAAAGGGGGAACCGATTACAAGGATCTATAACCTCCTCCCTGGAGAATGGACAACAGAAAAGTGGGTGAAGGGAGACATCGGACAGTGTAAGATATGACAAAATAATAATTTATAAATTATGAAGGATTCATGAGGGATGGGGGAGGGAGGGGGAAAACAAGGAGTTGATATTAAGGGCTCAAGTGGAAAGCAAATGTTTTGAGAATGATGATGGCAACAAATGTACAAATGTCCTTGACACGATGGATGGATGAATTGTGATAAAAATTATACAAACCCCCCAATAAAATTATTTTTAAAAAACAAAGCAAAAAAAGAATTACCCATTTATCTACTTATAATGAATAATAATAGCTACCTCATTGAATTTTTTAAAAATTCATTCTCATAGGCTTTCCAAACCCACAATCTAAAGAAAGCAACTAGGAAATCTTCAAACAAGAATGGGCATGTATATTTTAAGAAATAGCTTAGTGTGTATTAAATAGTCTACCCATAAAGTTTGGAGAAAGAGATCGCAAAGCACAGAGAAAAGTTTACTTTGATACTATAGTTCATATCTTTTTTGTATGAAAATGTTGCTTTCTATACTTAGTGAAGTGAAATCTTAAATAAATGTACAATAGGAGAGTGGGTAAATAAATGATAGGATATCAAGTGAACGATTATGAAAGACTGGATAAGATGAAAAAAATGTTGGAAAAGCAGGATGTGTGTATTATGTTTTGGGATTAAATTTAATCTACCATGTTGAATATATAAGAAACAAAAATAAAAATGTTTACTTAAAAGTTTTTTTAATGTTGCAGATTTATTTGAGGTTCCTAGATTATCAAATGGAGCACTCAAATGAATGCAAGAGAAACTTCGTTGCAGTCTATGATGGAAGTAGCTCTATTGAAAACCTGAAAGCCAAGTTTTGCAGCACCGTGGCCAATGATGTCATGCTTAAAACTGGAGTTGGAGTAATACGGATGTGGGCAGATGAAGGTAGTCGCCTTAGCAGGTTCAGAATGCTCTTTACATCCTTTGTGGAACGTAAGTAAATAATGCCCATAGCATTGACATATTTTACAGTTTTCAATTACTCAGAATACACTTATTAAGCATTTACTTTTGAGAAACATTATGGTTATCACAAAGACCCCTACTGGTACAGTGGTTAAAATGTTCACCCACTAATTGAAAGACTGAAAGTTCAAACCCACTAATCACTCCATGGGAGAAAGATGTGACATCCATCTTCCTTAGAGATTTATAACTTTGGAAACCCTATGGGACAGTTCTGTTCTGTCCTATAGCATTTCTATAATCAGAAAAAACTTTGAGAGGTAGGGGTTTAGATTTTTTTCAAATATGGTCTTCATAGAGGATAAAGATGTAACTAAAATTTGGTCCTTATTCTCAAGGAACTGACTGCGATGAGTGAAAAAGGCATGTTAGCACAGAAATTCAGTACTAACTTAACAACGTGTAAAATATTTTCCATTAAGATTTTCTTAATTTAAAATTATCAGTAGTGTTAATTCAGCTAAGTAGATAATTAGGAATCCCCTAAACGATGGCCATCAAAAATTTAGATGGGCCAGCTAGTCCTGATTGTTTTCTTGTTTTTACTCTTTATTTTGAAATAATCCCATATATATTGAAACTTTTCCCACAAGATCTGGTTCAAGATCCACTCTGGGGCCCTGTATTACACATAGCTATATTCCCAGGCTAGTATACTAGAACTAGCTTCCTGGGATTATTGGATGAAAAAGTAAATGCATATGTAGTTTAGTTAGGTATTGCCAGGTACCCCTTCAGAAGGTTTATGTCTTTTTTAAATAAATTTTTATTATTTTCCTTAAAATAGTCATCTTTAAGATTTTATGATCATGTGGGAATATTTTCATATTAAAGGATGCTGTAGTTCACTTACAAACACTTATTAGCTTAAAGTGGAAGAATTTTGAGAACAGATTTTAGCATTCTACCCTTCAACTCTTGAAAATTTGAGTAAACAAGCCACCACGTAAAAAAGTTCATTCTGATGTCTTTTTTGCATTTCTCCTAAAAGCCCAAATGATTTGTTAGTACTTCCTGTTACTTATTTTGTGCTTAAAACAAGTATAGGCCATGTTACATCTTTTTGACAAGAGACCTTTCAAAAAGTACCATCATAATGATTTCTTGGTTTTGAATGGTCTTTAACTTAAAATCTACATTTTCACAGGGCTGATTACTTGCCACTGACCCCTTACTCAGATTTATCTTCTACATGAAGAAAATTACTGCACACATAAAGTTGAGCCCTGATAGCAAAGTGTGCTGCTAAGTGCAGTTCAAACTCACCAGCTGCTTCAAGGGAAAAAGATGAGACCGTCTGCCCCCGTAAAGAGTTGCTGATGTGTCCCAGAAACAATACTGGGAATAGGAACACCGTAAGAGAAAGGGGAGTGGAGGCAGGGGGGAGGGGAAAAAGAAGGAACCGATAGCAATGATGGATGAATGGATGACACCCACCTCTGAGGTGTGTCAGAACAGAAACATGGGTGAAGTGATACAGTGGATGGTATAATATATGAAAACATAACAATAAAATTTATCAAGGGTTCAAAAGAGAGGGTGGGGGGTGGAGGAAATAAAGAGGAGCTGATAAGGGCTCAAGTAGAAAGGTAATGTTTTGAAAATGACCATGGCAACATATGTACAAGTTTGCTTATAAAAAATAATTGATTTATGGATTATTATATCTGTAAGAGCCCCTAATAAAATTCTTTAAATTTTTTAAAGGAAATATATATATTATATATATATATATTATATATATATATACCAGTGTGAAAACCCTTTGTCCTATAGGGACACTATAGTCGGTATTGGCTGGATGGCAGTGGCTATAGTTGAGAGCGTTCACATCATTTTACGTCCTGACTGATGAAAATGGTGTAATGGCAAGCTACTAGCAGATATTCTTCATGAGAAATTTGAGGACTGATAATTTTTTCTACACTGATAATTTTAAGATATTTTTCTATAGCTGACATAATTAATAAAATTATGGCTGCATTACCATACATAGGTATATTCCTGTATTTATAATTTTAAAGCCATTTTAGCCAATCATCCTATTTACCCATACCATTAATGCACTCACTTAATATTTATCATGTAAGATCTGATAATATGAAGATATAAAAATTGATAAAGCAATCCTTTCCCTAAAGGACTAGACATCACTTAGGTTATGTGGGGGGGGGGAATGAAATTACATCATTACAGAATTGACTATGATAAAGTCATTTTCAGACATAAAACAAAATACTCTCCTATTTATATATAAGTTACTTCTGGCATACAGCATCAATTATTGATTAAGTGATCTTGGGGGTAGGTAGATTTTAGAACATGGAAATGTTCATTGAGGTGATTTAAAAAATTGCAATGAGTTGAACTAAAACATAGAGTTAGCACATATTTAGGCTTAGGTCGTGGTAGAGGGAGCAGAAAGTAACAAGCCACGCAAGGTAGAGTCAAGCCAGAGTATAAAAGTCTTTAAATTAAAGGCTGATTTACAGATTTTGGAGAGGCTTAAATTACAATGAGAGCTGTGCAAACCATGAAGATTTGAACCAAAGCGATGCCCCTGAGGACAGAGAAGAGAAGTAAGGCGATAAAAGGTGGACTAATCCAGAGTGAAAGGTACGGATGAACGGGTCAAGAAAGGAAACCCTATCATTTGGAATCAGACCTATTAGAAAATGGAAATTAAACACCTTCTAGTTTCTAGTTCATTTGGACATACTGAGTTCCTCAGGCAGGTAACCTTTGCAGTGGGCCTGGCCGTGAGGGACTTGTGCTGCTATACGCTACCACTCCTGAGCTTGTACTAGACTTCTTTTTTGGTAGACATTAAAGCTACTGCCATAAAGTCAATAATGGCAAAATGGAACACCGTGGGGCAGATCGAACAGCTTCACAGGATTTCCAAAATCATAACTCTTCATAGAAGCAGACTGCCTTTATTCTATGAGGCAGTTGGTGGGTTTGAACTGCCGACTTTTCAGTTAGCAGTTAAATACTAACATACCACCAGAGCTCCTTATAAAGACAGTTGGTGAGAAAATCATGTTAACCTTTTCCCTCCATTTATTACCAGCATCCATTTCTGTTGTGACCGGTACAGTGTCTGTAAACTACATACTGCTTTTAAGCTCTTGACATGGCCAGTTCAAGTTGTAAATGCAAAAATACATCCAATATTTCAAAGACTATAAAATAAAACCTATCTGATATGTCTTATATTTGTTAAATGTTGAAATGAGGATGTTTTAGATATACTTTCAGGGATCCCAAGATCACGCATACATTAGATGAGTTGCATTCAGCAAAAGGATAAAAGACAGACTCAGCTAAGGAACAAGGCATTGTCTAGCGAAACCTTTGCACTGGCTTCCTTATTATCCCTCCTCTCTCTTGTGGGGAGGGGGCCGAGGACACGAGCTTGTCGTTTCTGCACTGATGGAGAGTGCAGTCAGGTTTGCAGCTTTTCTGCCCTAGGAAGCCCATAAATGTCAGCAGCTGACGTTTTTATTTTGGAAATGGGCGTGAAGACACCGTCTGCCTGGCACAAACCAAAGTTCCCGACTCCCAGAAAGAAAGGGTGTGTTCAACATAATGACATCATTGCACAAACTACCAAATCGTGAACCGCTTTGCCTGTTAGATCTCCAATGCCAACCAGAAGCCCAACTTTATTAGCAGGACCTTCTACAGATAGCAGCCTCGGGACCACAGTACTATATTAACTTTTTTCTATGCATAAATTGGCTTAAATAAAATACATTAATAAAATTACTTTCTTCTGTTTACTAGCTTACATGTTTGGCTCACATTTATTTTAAATCACCCAAGCATACATCTTACATGAGAAATTCTCTGCTTTCTTAGTTAAGGTGTTTTCTCTCTATATATATATATATATGTTCAAGATTTCTTGATTAATATAATTCTGATAATTAAACAGGTGAAAATTCTCCTTCAAGCGATACTTTTATACCAGCTAATCATAAATGTAAGACTGTGGTAAGACTGCAATAGACTTTGAATTCCAAATTTAACTTTTACCTAAGAATAAGAAGAAAACTTCCCCTCCAAAACTCTGTGTGGTAAAAATTAGGGTATTTAAGTAATGTCTATGAAAGTCTCAGTTTGAAAATTTCCCTGCAATAACAATACTTCTGATCTCAAAACAATAAATTGTTTGCATGTTTATCATTATTCAAACTATTAAACTTCCTTTTGCTTGGCCCCAAACTGTTATGTGTTGTAATTTCTATGAATACATCCAAGAAAACAGAATTTCAGGTTTATATTTGAGAGATTCACTTCACTGCAGGTTGCAGATTGACTAAAACCATGTAATTTGACTTAAAGGGATAGTAAACAGTAGTACTCAGGATGTGTTTGAATTCTTCCCAAGCAGTAAAGATGGATATATACCTGGCTGTTTAAGAAAGGATATGGATGGGTTTAGGAAGATAATTTCTAAGCCTAGAATTGTGAAAGTGGCAGAATATATTTTTGTTAGACTAAGTTTGTAATTTGATTTTCAGTGACATATTGCTTAAGGGCCTCCTATAGGCTTAAAGAATGGAGCCATCTTTCAGCGTCATTGACCATTCTCATCAAAAGTGGAAGGTCGTGGAAAATCCCAGCCTTCCTCTCTCTGCCCCAGAAAAGAGTATAGCGGGCAGGTAGGGTCCTCAGACTGTCTATAGTGTTGCTGTTATCTTTGCTCTTTATTTATAAACCACTGCTACAGAGTCAGTTCTGACTTATAGCAACCCTATAGAGCTGAATAGAACTGCTCCCTCGCAGTTCTGAGGCTATAAATCTTTACAGGCACAGAGACTCATCTTTCTCCTCAGAGGGGCTGGTGGATTTGAACTACTAACCTTAAGGTTGGCAGCCCATCATAACTACCATGCCAGCAGGGCTCCTCCTCCTTATTTATAGACATAAAATTTAGCCATATTATTGTGTTAAATTGACGTTTGTCATTAGCATCCCATATCAATTGCTGATACTTTTGAATCAAAAATGGCCATGTTCATCTAATAAAAGCCCTAAAGTTTAAGATATTTTTAACTATAAATATAACATCTCTCTAAAACAAAATCTGATCGCATCAATATGGTGTTGTATTAGTTTTAAATAATTTGGAGAGCAGTTGAAACAACTAACAAAACTGAGGATCCCTGCTTCTCACTATGTAACCACTAAGAAGCACCACGTAGAAAGCCTGCTGCCAAGATACAGAGACCCATAGAATTGTCTATGGGACTGATGCATGCAGAAGACGGAACACTGCGAACCCACAGTGCTATTCGTAACCTTTCCAACAGGTTTGAAAATAGCTTCTATTGCAAAAGGTAATTGTGAAATAGGTGAAACAGACTGGAGAATTAGAAGATAATATATCTTATTATCTATAATCTATAATCTCTAATAGAATTGTGATCTGATAGCCATTTTTAGAAATGAGCCATTCCAAAATGTTCTGTTTATTTTTGCTGTTTGAAATTGCCCCCATATGTATAATACAGTTTATGATATACAGGACACACTGAAGTGAATATACTAGCCAGTTTCGTAAAAACATACTTTCAAACATCTTCATTGGTTTTTCAATTCTTAACCTAATGGTGTATTAATATGACTAATATTTTCCTGAAGCATCGATCTTTTTTATAATCAGAAAGTACTTGTTTTAATATGTTAAATGATGCCATTATGAAGATGAACAGTCTCAATGAATTAGTCCTTAGATACATAAATACTTTTGCACTGAGAAAAGTATCAGTAGTATTGAAAGATCATTCATCCATAGTCTCAGATGACACTCTTGTTATCCTGTTTATTGAGGGGACATTGAAGCCCAGAGCTCAATGTCTTGAAGTCTCCAGGTAGTGAGTAGTTTCTCTCTATGGTCCACTGGTTGGCACTTTGTTTCCACTTTCTGCTCGCAGCACTGTTCCTCAAGTTACTTACAGCTCAGAGTCTTCAGTCACAAGACTCACCTAAACAAAAAGCATTTATTAGATTATGTTTGGGGGTTTACGGGAGCCCCAATAAGTAATACCTGTTTTTGCAGCCCATGCTTAAAGCCAGTTGAAATATAGACAAAAGGGGATTGGGAAGACGAATACCAAGCTATCAGTTTTATTTGACAGTGTAATTGGAAAATATGGTTTGATATTTGTTAGCATCTTAATACTACACCATAGAATTTCAGGCTTTCCTGAAGGGAACAGACATGGGCTTAGCTAGACAATTGGCTGATGGCCAGACCTGTAAGATTAATAACATACAATTGCAGAACTGAATTTTGCTTCCTGAAAGCTGCTGATTCCAAAAGTAAATAAGAGAAGGCATGAGCTATGAATCACTAGCTCCTGATCCTAAATTTATCAGTAAAATAATTCACTCTTTTTCCTCTAGGGAGGAACAAATGGCTAACAAAGTTCAGGAGTATTAATCTAAAGAGAGCCTTCTCTTTAGAAGGAAAGAAATACCTCAGGACTGTTATTTTATTTTTAATATTATTTTATGTATTTAAGGTGAAAGCTTACACAACAAATTTGTTTCCTTATTAATTTTCTTGCAAATTGCCCCATATGACCTTGTTTAACTTTTTCACAATTTGTCAGCATTCTGATTTATTTCTATTCTGTTTGTTCTGTTTCTGTTGATCTAGGTTCCCTTCCTCTTTCTACCTTCTTGTCTTTGCATTTGGGTAAATGTTAGCTTGCAGCAGCACTTTTCATGAGGCTTACTGCATATTCACTAGAAGACCATATTTAAAGGGCTGGGGACCCGGTAGTCCCATTATAAGTGTGGAAGAGATTATCTGTCCAGTGAAATTTTGCATAGAATTTTATTTTGAAATAAACTTTAAAAAGAAAGTGTAAAATAATCTTTGAGGCTCTTTCTTTCTGACATAGAGTGACATTCATATATTTTTGGAAATCAAAAATATATAGAACTATTTGGGCAAAAAAGACATTTTGTTTGATATTGTAGAAGTCAAAATTTTTAGTTTTTTTTTTTGTTACGTTTCTATTATTCCTCTACAATCTTCTTTAAGTGGAGGGAAATTTAAGCTGTCCTACTTCTTGACTATCAGATTTTTAAAATGTATCTTTACACGGTGCACTATTCTATAATACTATGTTTGTACTTTGCTCTAGAACTTTATTTCCTCATAAAAGTACTTCTATTGAGTCATAATCCAGTATAACAAATGTTTAAAAATGCGATGGGAAAGTATTTGGAATATGAAAAGAATACACAGAGCGATAAGCTAACTCTCAAGGAAAATGAAGGTGGTCTTCCCAAAGAGAGCAACATTTGAGATGTTCTTGAAGGATGAGTGTAGGTGGTCCCCGAGAATGGAAAGAGGTAGAGATATTCCAGGCTGAAAGCACAGCACTTTCCACATATGAAATTACATGAATTGTGAAATTACTCTGTTAGAACTTTATTATCTTAAAATTTTTAGAAAAAATTTGCCACAGGAAATGTATTCTTAAGATCATTACATAAAAATGGCCTTTTAGTGTCCAACAAATCTTTACATGGGACAGGATTAGAGACAGGATCTTTGTCCTATCTTTTTATAGTACAGAATTTATTCATGGAAAGGTCTTTGAAGTAAGAAATTAACTTTGTAAAAGTATATATGTAATTCAGAGATATTTTCTGAATCTATACGTTCTTTTTCAGTAACACCTTTCTCTATTTTCCTTCAGCTCCCTGCACAGGCAGCACTTTCTTTTGCCATAGCAACATGTGCATCAATAACTCATTAGTCTGTAATGGTGTTCAAAACTGTGCATACCCCTGGGATGAAAACCACTGTAAGGGTGAGTTCAGTCAAAAAGCCAACCTTTTTGAGAGAGAAGTAGCTATTTCTTTTCATTAAGGAAAATTTAATGTCTTTTTCTGTAACAACTATGCTTCGTTTAATTGTTTTGGCATAAATGGAGACATAAGAAGGTTCTTTTTAAGTGGAACAAAGGCCTTCTCAGGGATGTTGATCAAAGTCAAGAAAACAATTGTTTTCTACTAAAGCATTTTTGGTTTACAAATTTTTTAAGTAGTTCAGAAGTGCACATGCTATTTCATGTTATTTTACTTTTTTATTGTTAAGCTAGTCATTTGTAAATAAACTTAGTTTTAGTTCGTAATATACTTTAAAAATTTTAGAAGTTTTCTCTTAAAAATATGGAAATGCTATTTAATAAAAAAAATGGATTCGTTGCTAAAAATGGATTCAACATTACAGTACAAAAGTAGACCCACTCTAGAAACTGCATATTTTCATTTCGTGAAATTCCTATATGTCTCTAAGCTAGTTGTCAATCATTGTTTCAGAAGTAACCAGCAGTTCAACCAGATAATGTAATCTGATGATGTCATCTTGAGTACTTGACAGGAAGATTGTCATTCAACAACAGTGGAACATGATAATATACCTGAGTGAAGTTCTCCTCTGTCCTGTAGGATTACTAAATTGGAATTGACTTGATGGCAGTAGGTTTATGCCTCTCAGTGAAATAACTATGTCCTTTACATTTTTCTATTTTATCTAGGGATGTTACCATTGGTTGTTTTAACCATTTGACCATTTGACTTAAAAACTCTTGTTTTAAATTGCATCATCTTAAGTGGATTTGACCCAAAATACCTTACACGTTTGTGACAGGACTTGTGTTAATGGATTTTCAGTGTTTCTTTCTTTCTTTCCACAGAGAAGAAAAAAGCAGGACTATTTGAACAGATCACTAAAACCCATGGAACAATTATCGGCATTACATCGGGGGTTGTCTTGGTCCTTCTCATTATTTCTATTTTCGTACAAGTGAAACAGCCTCGCAAAAAGGTCATGGCTTGCAAAACTGCTTTTAATAAAACTGGGTTTCAAGAAGTGTTTGATCCTCCTCATTATGAGCTGTTTTCCCTGCGGGACAAAGAGATATCTGCGGACCTGGCTGACTTGTCAGAAGAGCTGGACAACTACCAGAAGATGCGGCGCTCCTCCACTGCCTCCCGGTGTATCCACGACCATCACTGTGGATCGCAAGCATCGAGTGTCAAACAAAGCAGGACCAACCTCAGTTCCATGGAACTTCCTTTCCGAAACGATTTTGCACAACCACAACCAATGAAAACATTTAACAGCACCTTCAAAAAAAGTAGCTACACTTTCAAACAGGCACATGAGTGTCCTGAACAGGCCCTGGAAGACAGAGTCATGGAAGAGATTCCCTGTGAGATTTATGTCCGGGGACGAGAAGATTCTGCACAAGCATCCATATCTATCGATTTCTAATCTTCTAAAGATGACATTAATTAGTATGTGTATATGCAGCCTACAGAGCACCTATTTCCAACAGCCATCCCTTTTCTCCTTGATGGGAGAAATCTAAAAGGAAGACCTTCATTTACCATTAACAGCCTATTGTAATGGTGAAGTTTGTATTAGCTCAGGCAGTCTATATGTTAAACCAACCAAGAAGCTTAGTCCATGCAGTGAAAAGAATCATCTATTGCTTGGTGTCTTAAAAACAAATCACTAGTTAAATAGTGTTTCAGGAGGCGAGTGGTTGTGTGGAGCCAGGCTCTGAAGCTGCCTGCTAGTTTCAACACCAGGAATACTGCTCTTGATTAATTCTCTAAGTGTTTTGATCCACAGTAAACTTAAGATTTTCCTTACGTTTCAAATTTATTTTGTTTTCTTAATTTTGTATTACAGGCCAATAATTTTGCATGCTATTAGGAAGGACTAGTTCCTAAAGAAGGACATAATGCTTGTAAAATAGGCTCAATTAAAAAGGAAAACCTTCAATGAGATGGACTGACAACAGTGGCTGCAATAATGGGCTCACGTGACAATTGTGAGGATGGTGCCGGACCAAGCAGTGTCCCTTCTGTTGTACATATGCTCATTTTGAGTCAGAACCAACTTGACCATATCAAGTTAAAATCTTACTATTTCAGTTTCTTACATAAATTCAAGTGGCCAATGCATATTTCAGTATAGGCATTTGTTCTTGAATTTGTCAAATTATATATAGTTATTATGAGAAGTACCACTTAAGACCCAGAGTTATATTTATGTATGTCTTTTTTCTTGACAAATTCCTATAATGTTGCCTTTTAATTACTAGGCTGTTGATCATTATCTTCTACGAGAAATCGATGATAGGATTTATTACCTTTCGTCATCTTTCATTTTTAGTTTCTTACACTGAAAATCTTAACGCTGGGGTGCGTGTACAATTGCCAGTTATAGCTAGAAGCTTAAAAAATATAAAAATGTCAAGCTTTTGAAATTTCCCAAATTTGGTCACATCTGGTGACACAGCCAGGTGATCTCAGTAAGTAAAAATGCATCCCATTCACTTGGAGGGAGGCTCATAATACTGTTTGTTAGCAATTTCATCATCTTTAGATCTGAGTTGCTATTAGGTTTTGAGAAAGATTGTGTAGCTCCCTTTGTTGATTTCATGGCATATGGTAGCCAAGGCTCATATGAGAGTTAATGGGAAATTACTTTAAAAAAATAAAATTAAAAACCTTATCTTCCTTTAGATTGCTCCTTACTTAGGACAGACTTTTTTTTTAATGGCATTTTGACCTTGTTTTTTATGGTATATAAAATGATAATTTATAAACATGATATATAAAAACTCATTGTGTTTTTTAGAATTTTAATATCATTTGATACTTTACAAATTTTATTAAATCAAGATTAAGACCGACAAGACAGATTTCTTTCATTGTTCACATTAGCAGCCTTGAATACAAATATGCTGTGATGAAACTGTAAACTATAATTTATTGTAAAGACATTGATAATGTGTATATAAGCTTTTTGTTTCCTTTTATTGTATTTTTGTTATAAAGTTTTCACTGTGTAGTATTTATTGCTCTAAATTACAACGCAAATCTTGCATTAATATATAATCGTGACATGCCCTTCAGTCATGTTATTTATAGCACTGAGATTTGGGATCTTAAGCTATGTGTGGCAAAGAATTGGTGTTTTAAACTATAACTAATAGACATGCCATGTTTTCTATATTTTTGATAGTAGATTCTCAATGAGTTTAACTGGATTATATTCTTTTAAATATTACATTGATATATTCTCTCAGATTAGTGAAAATTATGACCTTTAAATATGACATATACAAAATGCCCCTCAAAATGTGTTTCTTACATCACATTTTTTAAAGTATATAATACCCAGGAAATATGAAAGCCTACACATAGTATATCCACAGCTTATTTTTGTTTCCTTAAAAATGTAATTCCCTCCATTTTTAAATGTAACTTGAAAAAGTAAAAAGACAATGAATGTAGTATTCAGTGAACTAATTCCAGAGCCAGTTTTGGTAGCTAAGTTCTTTTGGTATCTATGTTGAATAGGCTTTCTAATATGTAATTTACCCAAACCAACCTTTGAATGGCATCATTAAAAAGTTATAATAGCAGCTGATTTTTTTCTTAATTATGAAAGGAAAATTAGCATGTTTTCTATGTAGAATTGTATCTACTCTAAATAACTGTTGAACCCACCTTTAATCTCTGTGGTAGAAAAAATACAGTATGCTTAAATACAGTACCTATAGTCACTTGTAATTGTATTTTCACTTTTGAAAATTCTACCTTTTTAAAGGGCTTGAATTGACTTCAAGTATACACAGCCTTTAATGAAGACATTAAAGTTAAATTAGCACAAAAGTACATGGTTTCAGACAACTCAAGTTAAACTTGGACAACAAATTTGCTTGTAAGTTTTCTGACAGCTAAAACAAATGAAACTTTTTGTTTTTTACAATAGAAAATGCAAACTTATCTGAAGAGGTTCAATTTCTCTTGAACTAAGAGTATATAGAGTGGTATTTTCTCAGGATTTAAGCAGGATGCAAAATATGACATCACAATGGCATATCGTCATGTTGCGAGGACACACTTAACAATTTAGGAACAGTATTATCTGTAGGCTAAGAACTAGATAAAAGCTAAGTGAATCTTAAACTCAAGTATGTCTTCATTGAACTATAAACTCTACCAAATGAAAACCCACTGCCATCTCGTTAATTTCTACTTGGTAGCCCTATAGGACAAAGTAGAATAACTGCATATGGTTCACCAGGCTATAATTTTTTTTCTTCAGGCTATAATTTTTACAGAAGCTAACTGCTACATCTGTCAAGGAGCAGCTGGTGGACTTAAACCACCAACCTTTTGGTTAGTAGCTGGGCATATATTATGCCACTGTTGAACCATAGGTAGATAATAATGTTGCCAGAGTTGATCCAATCAAGAGCCATATGTACTGATTATATTTTTTAAAACAATTGACATTAGTTCCAACTCATGGCAACCCCATGTGTGTCTTAGTAGAACTGCCAAATTGAGTTGTCAAAGGCTGATTTTTCCCCCCTAGATATGGATAGCCAAGACTTCTTCCAAAGTATCTCCAGGAGACTTGGCCTACAACCTTTTGGGTTCTGCCAAGCATTTGTGCCACCTGGGAACCTCCAGATGATAATTAGATTTCATCTTTTAAATATTTGTCAGTATACTATAGGGAAGAAAGATAATTAAACCAATAAATTCTAAACATTTTCTACCTGTGTAATGCTAATTGCCATATATACAGATAAGTAATGTATATTTGCAGCATGTACTCTTTAAAGGAAGCCCTTGTGCCACTCAGTTGATAATGAAAAGGTCCTGTAGGATTGTTAAAGAGTTGAAAGCAACTCACAAGCAAGAGGTTTTTTATCATTGTTTTGTGAGGTCAGTGGGAAAACTAGTTTACGCACTGCCACCAAGTCCATTCTGACTCAAGCAACATTGTAGGACAGGGTAGAACTTCCCCAGGGGGTTCTGAGATTATACTAGAGTAGAAACCCCTATCTTTCTCCCTAGTTGCTGCTAGCATTTTCAAACTTGTGGTTAGCAGCTTAATGCACAACCATGACCCCACCAGAGCTTCTACAGTGAAATCCCTAGTCATAGCAAGAACATGACTTTCAGTCATCTTGTGGAAGTTACAAACATAGAAAATATAATAGCTAAGTATTAACTCTATATCCTTAACTGCAATTCTGAAAGCAGAATATGTCTTAAACATAAGATTTGCATTAAAGAAAATATCCATGTTCCTATGTTGTCATGTCTGGTGGAATTCAGTATAAGATAACCCAAAATTAGAGGAAATTAGAGGCCAAAAAGGAAAGGAATTTCTACATTTCACAACACAAAAGAGATTTGAATGTTGATTTACTAGCATCTGATGTCAGATTGTTACAAGGTCAGCAGTTCTAATCCACCAGCTGCTCAGAGGGTTAGCCTTTGTTCTCTCATAAAGATTCATAGTCTCAAACCCACAAGGGCAGTTCTCGGTCCTAAATGGTTGCTATGAGTCAGAATCGACTTTTTGACAGCTTTTTGTTGTTTCATGTAACAGATATTAGAACTTCCTAAATACCCAATTCTGATGGTTTTTATGCTTTAGCTGTGTAAGAAGGATGCTTCCTTTTTGTGAATTGTATTAACTGGGATCTCAAGGGTAATTCTCAAAGTGGAGTTTCTCTTATTACAGAATTGAGTCTCCTTTCTTGTTCATGTTACTAAGAATAATATGTCCTAAATCAGACTGATTAGACAGACACATAAGGAAACCCCCACTCTTTTTGTAAGATAATAAAAGGTCCAAGAAAGTCCACCTTCATTAATGTGAAGACCAAAGCCCAGGATGGGAAGTGAGGCCCCATCCCAGAACTGCTAGCCCTGCTCTTTTATCTCCATGCTTCTGCTGGCTGTAAAATTTAGGTCAGGCAGCTCTGAGTAGCAGCCCAGGTGTTCATTTAAACTGTCAATCATTCTGATTTTAAAATGGAATTTTTCCATATTTTTTCACAGCATTATATTTCACCTTAAAAGCACCTGTAACATCTTGTTCTGCAGTTTTGTTGTTGTGATTTCTTAGCACCTGCAAACTCTGCAAGACAATGACTGTGAATTTTTAATAAACAATGGTAACAATTTATAGGCTTAGTACTAGCTAGAGCTGCCAATGTTTTTGCTTTTGTGATCTTTGTTAGGTCTCAAAGGGACTATTGTATACTAAAAATTAAACATTTGTGCACTACATCCACTTGAGTTTGGAAGAATGATTTGAGTTGTGAGCCAACGTGACAGTTTGATCTTACTTTATTTTTTACTTGATGGACTTGAACTCCATTCCACAGGACAAGAAAAATTTTTTTAAATCCATTCTTATTTACAAGGAAATGAAAATATGTTTTATAAATTATGAGAAGCAGAAATGTTCCCAAATGGAGACTCCATTCACAATATTTCATGTGTACATATTTATTTTCAGGAAGTAAAAATGTCTGATCAAGTCTTCAGAAAAAATACAGACTTCATAAGTGGGCAGTGCAATACTTTAAAGTGTTAGAAATCAATTTATCTTTGGTTGAAAAAGTGAATGAAGATAGCAATAACTATCATGGGCTGATTTTGACTGGATTTCTTCATCAGATGAGATTTCCACAGAAAAGTTCATTGTTTTCCTTTATTCTGTCTTCAAGAAGGGGGGAAAAATGCTGAGAGAGAAGTCATTTTTCTCTTCCTTAGCAGTGGGGCATTAGTATTCAACAGAAGTGCTGTACTAAATGCTGGGGCTGCTA